GGGGGGGGGGGGGTAGGGTACTCTGAGTACGTCAGCATGCACCAACGCTCTCGGGGTCGCATCAAGGATGTATGAAATGATATAATTTTCGTTTAATTAAAACTGTAATAACAGTTTTGACTGCATTCTGGAGCACGTGGAAGGAGGACGCCATTAAAATATACGAGGAAAAGCTTTAAGGCCGTTATATACGTATAGGTACGTAACCGTAGAACGAAACCGAAGAAGACAGACATAAAGGATTATTCACTGAATGAATAGGTTAAGGTGGTTGCTGGCACGACAAACCCCCAGAATCCATTGCCGATCGTTTTCCACTTTCCTGCAAACTTTACGCCTTAACGATCCGCAGCGAGTCCCAATCAATTCCCCCCTACCTCGCGGAATCGATTTTATATACCCGGGGAAAAGATTAATCGCGAGCCCAAAGAAATGCAGCGAGGAAGAGAGCGTGAAAAGAAGCTTAAGACAAATAGAAGAAAAAAAAAACTAAGCCAGCCCCCTAGCTCGTATCGATACGATATAAATAGCAAGAAATGAGAAATCAAGGGTTGAATAAAGACATCGATTCGATAGTGTTATTTTAAGAGTGCATAAATCTAGCCCTAATGTACGAAATATATAAAATCGTCAGGACTATAGTATACTCTACCGCACTATGTTTGTATTCATATATATATATACAGTATGTACCTTGTACGTCGGCAGTAAGGGAACGAAGGCAGGCGACGAGAATGGAAAATAAACGTAGCGATGATGCCCTGAGTTTGAAACAATTAACATAACAAAGCACAGAGAGAAACCGAGAGGCAGCGGAGAAGGCGGTGAGATCCGCCGCAGCCAAGAGTGCCGGGCGAGGCGTTTCTCTTGAGATTTTGGCACCGTTTCCAGCATTTCTACCGTTCCTACAAATTCCCACAATGCAGGATACATGCACCTTCTACGTACGCTGGCCCTATACACCACCCTCCCCACTCAACCCTATTCTCCCTGGAATGCTAGTTCAAAACATTTTCACCACGCTACCCATACGGTACACACGGTCTATGTAGAAATGCCCGATGGAACACCTCAGGAGACAGTAAGGGGAAAAGAAGGAAGAAAAAAATATATTCGACCTCCCAACGAATTGGTACACACGTGATGACAGAGGGATGCTGGCTTGCGTAACTTGTAAGTAAATATACTCGTACACGTGTCATAAATGAATTCACAGTGACATTGGTGTATATAATATGGATGCAGGGGATGGTATTACAAGGGGGATGTGGGGGAGGGCGGTGGTATTGGTGTCGGAAAGGCGTAACTGGAACGAGGGGATGAATTTTCCAGGCTGTACGTTTCAAAGTACGTCGATTCAGAAGTTCCACCGTCTGCCGGCAACGTGGCTCGGCTTATTTGATTAAGGCGCATTGAAGGCGCCATGCATATAATCGTATAAATTGCTTTTGATGTGAGCGCAAGCTCGCAACCCTGTCTGCAAGGGGTTGAAAGCCCGAGCTCCTCTCGCGAAGCCACTTCTCGCTCACGTGATATCGCGAATTCGCGACTCCAGTCGAGTCGCGGCGACAAGATAAACCGCATCCGGACGACAGCTGTCACCTGAAATTTCTCGGTTGAACCCTTAATGAAGAAATTTTTTTTCCAGGGGTTGAAAAAAATTCTTGTGTATACGGGATCTCTAAGGCTGTGATAGGACACCCCCCCGTCCACGTGGGGTTGAAGTTCTATACCGATCGAGCGACATGACCTACGACACCACCCCCAATCCCATCCACCCTCTTACTCAGCCACGTGACATTGGGGCAGACGCTGCCCTTTGTGCCCGAGGAACTTTTCGATAAAAGGAACGAGTACCCGAGGAAATAAATAACACTTGGGCTTTTCGACACCCTTCTGTAGAATTCAGTGCAATTTCCGCGTAAGAGCTTTTGCTTCGTTGCTTTCTTATTCGCCATGCCGTTTTATACCCTTTTTACATGAATTCATCGAAAAATCGATCCGACTGTCTATAACGATAACTCGCTGCATTCTCCTGTCACTTATTCACTGGGACTCGTCACTTGACTGTTCACTGGATAATAAATAAGGGTTGATTCGCAATGATCGATATGAATTTTCCATATATTCGCAACCCTTACAAAAATAGGCGACCTGCCCTAAATATTTTTAATAACAATGAGACAAGCATTCAAATCTGTACGAAGACCCACAACGTGACTGCCAAGTCCTTATCGCTCAACTGATTAAACAATTCAACAACGATTGTCCCGAAATCCACGAGATACTGAAATTCGCGTCACGTTACGTCACAGCAGTAACTTTCACAGGCGCCGTAACAGTTGAAGCAGTCGAAGCATATTTCGCTAAGGGTCCTGGGCGCGCCCTAATTCGTGGACATTATTCTCGGCCATTAGCACCTTCCAGCAGATAGATCGCTCGAGAACGCCGGTTGCAGGGGGTGGCGCTGGTAATACATGTACTGGCATTGCTGTATCCCCAGAAGGGTAGTCTATTGCCCAACCTTGTCTGTGTTGCAGTTTGAGTAACGTTCCAGGTCGAGGAAGCAGTCAGCGGTGGAAGTATAAAATGTCAATGCGTTTACCGGGAAGCATTGTGGATCTTGATCTATGTTTATGGGCGCAAAAAGAAGGGTGGCCGATGCAGAAGACCATCAAGCGTCTCTTGCTGTAACGTTGGACGTAATGGGACAAAGGCGTTGCAGAAACGTGAAGGAGATATACTTGTGAATGAGGGAAGAGAATAGAGGGATTGGTAACCGAAGTCTAGAGAGAGATAGGAGGGTGTAGTTAGATATCAAACTACCTGGATAGCTAGTTAAGGGAGTTCTGCAGTATCAAAACTACCCCTATACAGGTAACCGTGTGGAACTAGGGCCTGGCCCAGGGCGATATTCTGCTGCTGATAACGCATGCATCTAGTGGAAGAGATAGTATCTAAGTAGTAACAGGGTGCGATCTGGTTTACCCTTTTCCCAAGCCTATGGTACAGTTGCACCCCTATTCCTTGCTAGTTCACTCAATAGATAGATTCAGCAGTACAACCCTCTTAACGAGGGTGAGAAAATTGTTGTATACCGAATGTAGGAATTTTTGTGTTTAAGGTAGGAAAGTCGAAGGAACGAAGGGTCCAATCCTTGGCTCATAGGGATGATAAAAGGATGCTCAAAGTTTTCTATTGGGAATATACGTATATATGTATCGTGCACGTGGAGCCATCCAGATTATCCAGACACAGGGTATATCCCAAACAGGAGCGTTAGGAAACTCTAGAGAAAGTTTGTTGCCGCACCCTGGGGCGACGTCGAAGCCGAAGAATTTGCTCGGGGAAAAATTGGGACACGGAGATCGCTTTGTTCGGTATCGTGAGCGACTTCGGGATAGGGCGGAGGTTCTGGGGACTCGGTCCGTGAACGAAACCTGATTTAGGACTGCGGTCCAGAAATCTCCCCAGGGACCATCCTGGCTGACCACCGCGCACTCACTTCACTTCCCGATGTCCACCCGAGCACGATCCTCATCCTCCTCCCCTTCGTTGCTATATAGTTGTCTAACCAGGACTACTACTACTATTAGTTGTCGCTGCTACTGATAGTAGTCCAAGACTACTACTATTGCCGTTACTACAATAGTATATTCAGCTGATACCTATACTTCACCACGTCTCGACCATCCTCCTTCGGTGTCCCTCGACGCCAACAAGTGCGACTCTTTACCAACATCGAGTTCCCAATGCGCCTGGAATACTAAGGATGCAGGGTACACCCAAGACAAGGTTCGCAGGGATGATTCTTCCACGTGCCAAACTTTCCTCCGGGTGTTCTTCGACAAGTCGTTATTAAAACGTTAGAGATACTTGTTTGGCAAAGAGGGGGAAGAAATTAGGTAAATTAACCAGAGGGTAGGTTCGGATCTCATTTCAGGAATAATGAAGCCACGTGGGACTAACTACAAGCTAATGCTCGTTACTCTGTGCCGCTTGGAGAAATACTCTCGGGGTAGATAATACAGGAATTTTCAAAAGCAATTGTCAAAATATCAAAACAGAATAATTATCGCAACTGAGTGTTCTCGAAAGGTCAGTTGGTTCAAGGTAATAAAATTTTACACACGCCTGAACGAGTTTTAAAAAATGTTTTATTTAATTGGACTTGACAAAAAATTCGTAAAAAAATTATAACGGGGGAATATACAAAAATAAAGGGTATAAGGGAAAAAGGAGGCTTCTGGCACAGCCTGGCGTATGGGTTACTACGTGCCTACCCGTCGGGCTATCCCGCGACCGTGGGCTGCCTTAAGGATTCGGGTCAAAGTCCAACCTGCCTTGATTTACAAATACGTCGAGATTTCTTGGACTCTGCCAAAACCAAAACTCAATCATCAATCTCCGTGGAATAAGATCCTATTACCAATCCCTGATCAAAGCGATGTTACCTAAGTATCTTAAACGTTAAAATCCTGTCAGGATAAAAAAAATTTGCTAAAAAATATTTTTGCAAAAATTCGCAAATACCTGGTTGATAGAAATACAGGTCCGCAGCGCGCGGCCACACAATCGCCGAGCGCTCCACGCTGCTTGATTATTTCCGCGTTTTTGCGGATCCCTTGAATCCTCGAAGAATCCTCAAATCCTCAGCAATGCATGTACTATGCTTCACACCTCAGCAAGAGTACAGATAAGAGGAGCACTATCATTCTTGCGTTATCACCCGCGTAATATTATTGGATATCAATATTAATAAGCACGCCGTTATCGTTAATTAAGAAATACGTTAATTATAAAATTATAACGACGAACAAAAAAAAACAGGCAGACAACCAGCCACTGTATGAGAAAATCGATTAGACGCGTGGCACTCGAGTGATAGGATGAAGAAAAAGAAAAGAAAAAAAATTTAATCGACAGACACAAGTTGCGAACCTCGTGACTTCCGGTACCGAAATCACACGACACTCGAAAATTCGCGAATAATCGTCGAACGATTTAAATCGTGTAAATGAAAAAAGTATAAGACACGCGGGATTTAGCTCAGTAATAACAGTCCATAGATCGGAAATACGTAATCACAATGTATCGATAAGCGACGGTAGTTATGTATACATAACACAGCGAAGATGAATGAACTTTTAACACACCAGTCCCCTTACGTATTCTTCTCTTCTTTAGTACCAGTGAACTTCTTTGAAATACGACACAACCTCGTGGCCACTGATTCAGTCATCAGATTCCGATAACGACGATCAGAGATCCTGATCACAGATCCTGGACCAGTTGAAAAACAATCCCAGCATATTCATCCGCATCGTGAACATCTTCGGGAGGAATAAAACGATCTCCTCGTCGAATCAAATGAATTACGTTTTACTCTTGTATATATATATATATATTCTTTGTAAATTAATTTTGAGCGACAGTCGCTAACCTCACTACGTCGGCGTCTTAGCCGCGTGTTAGGTGTCCCGCGCACCAGGTACGAGAGAACCGTCGACCGCGTGGTCACCACTACCGACCGTCGTACTCATGAAGGTACTTGTTCCTCGTGTAACCCAAAGCTACCCCACGTGATACTTTGGCAATACCAGACACTTTTCCAAGCAAAAGTTTAACAGTTTAAACCCGAACGAGACGACCCTAAGTATATCGCGAGCGGCCCCTCTCTCGTGAAAACGACACCTTAATCTTCTCTTGGGTCCACCTGTTTCTCAAACCGTGATTCCTATCTCTTATCTTCTTCTCGTCGTTTATGATTTCTTTGATTTAGTTTTTTTTAAATTTATTTAATATCAATCCCCCCGCCCTGCACAGCCGCTCGATTACGTTCTCGACCAAGAGTATATTATTCGTAGACACCTCCCTCGTGGAAACGGAGATGGTGTACACTGCGGTCGCTCTCCGCACACTGAGGATAGCTGACGTCACGAGCCCACCACGCGGAGGTGGTCTCACGAGTGACGCTTCGCGCCGGCGCCGTTCTGCTACCTTTTACAACCCCTGCATCCACTGGCCGTAGCCGCCTTCTTATTCCAACCTCCGCGAAGGGACGCGGACCGCTAAGCTTGCTTTGCTCCGAGTTTCTCTTTTTATTCGAGATCAAACATATGTGTACCGAATTGAGAAATCTTAGTTTGCTTTGGTATCAAGATACGTATCCAACCCTACACCACATTACTCTGTGAACATATTAAAGAAAAAGAAAATATTGTAAAATACTGTAAAAATCATTATAGGATATCAGTACTGATGCGAAATGATCCAACTGGTCCAGAGGCACCGTGCTCTATAGATCATAAATCCAACCGACACAGAATTCCCTAGAGAAACTTCAAGGCTAAAGTTTTCCGGGACTTTAACGACTATAGGAAAGACAGTGGAGTTCGATGTATCGTACAAAGGATCCAAGAGAGATACCGGATGCTGTGCGAGAGTTTCCAGAGTGAGATGAAACTTGGATGCATGCAGCAGCCGTCGGAGTTTGGTATCACTTGGTATAAAATAAGGTCTGGGCGATCCAAACTTTTAACATGTAAATCGTTCCGTCTGAGCATATCGGTAGGTATCTACTTAGCAGACCAGATGGAGCTCACGAGGAGACCCGGACGAAGCTTAGCGAAGGACACCATTGAATGACCGAGGGCAATCTTAACGAAGTCTGCTTAAACGAAAGGTCATAGGGTACTGATAAGGGTGACTGGTATGACGATCGGTATGGTGGTTGTCCACTCGTCATAGGTAGGGCACTTGGTTTAAGCACGCGTCAGTCAGTATGTGGGTTGATGCGGTAGGCTGTGCAGGAAGGGACGAGGGATGAAGAGAAGATCCTAGAGGAGAATGGAGAGAGAGGAGAGGATGAAAGTGAGAGAGAAAGAGAGAGGGGGGGTGAGAGAGTGAAACGACCACCCGTCAATCTCTCTCTGGTTGCTGGTGCTGGTGGCGTTGGGTGGTCTCATGGTAGGAGTTGGATGGAAATCAATAGCCCTGAATAATGAACCCCAAGGCAGCATCCTCACTCACCCTTCTCTACGGTCTGGAGCAGTTTCTCATGCATCCTCTCGTACCAAAGAGAGAACCGACTCCTCCTCCAGTTCTCTCTTGCGGACTCTTCCGCACCCTTAGAATGAGCCTCAAGCTCAGCCCCGCTCTCCCCTCTCTATCCGTCCTTATTCATTCTCTCGGTTCCTTTCACTCAGACTCCATGCTGGTACCCATGGACATCGGTCCCTTATTCTCAACTGAAAAGGGATGCTCGTGTCCTTGTTCCTTGTATCCCCTATCCCCTCTCTCTATCTCTCTCAAGCTCTAGCTACTGGATACTCCGTCTCTCTCCACCCTAACTTCCCAGCCAGATCTTCCCAAAACCAATTCGGATAACAGAGAAGGACGAACTGCCTGTTAAAATTATTGTCAATCACAAAGCAGATCGCGAGGATTAATTAAAATCTACTCGGACGTTTATTAACGTAACTTCGATCCGATCAATATTTCTATATCCGGTTCCTCTGTGAATTACAAGGAAATAACGTAAACTCTACATTACTGTAATTGCCCCGTAAAACGATCCTTGCTCAATCGACAGTGATTAAAAGAGAACGACACAGCCACGCGTAATAGCTGATTCTCGATAATCGATATTATCGAGATTATAAAGGTGAGAACACCCAAGATCCAAGCGCAAGCTCAGGTTAGCATAATTGGCCGGTGGCGCAATTAGAAAATTGGCCTGATGTCTTCATCCAGGAACTTTCGATGTGACGAATAAATAGACCCGTCAATTTACATAGTCGTTAACGGGAATGGCTGGCAAGCTCTTATCGGTTCTGCGGCTCCTCCTGACCTAGCCCAACGCGTTCTACGTTCAACCACATCCTCCGACCCCTCCCTGCCCGATTTCCCCGCCACCCCCCCCTGCCGATATTCCCTTTACGCCCTTGAGTACTAACCACCCCCAATTCAATACATACCACCCTGAATTCCAACCTAATGGGCAGGGGCGCTTATTAACGATCGATCGAGCTACCGCGAGAATCCTTAAATGCATTAACGTATTAATAATGGCGGCTACTGACGTGGGGGGGGGAGCGGGAAGGGGGATGGAGAGAAACCGCAAAGCCGTGAGTCGAGTGACTACGCGCCTATTACGTATTCCATGCAGGACGAAGAATTCGCCCCCTATGAGGATCTGGAGGTCGACCGTATCTCCAACTCTTTTTAACAACCACAACGTATATGTATATACTCTCCGAAAAGCAGAGGGTAGTTTTCTTTCTTGTGCTTATATTCGAACGACCCGAGCACACGGCGGCTGATATAACGACTATGCAAATGGGAATCGGCCCAATTCTTATTTAAAAAAAAAAAAGGAACGAGATATTAAGACATTAGTGTACACGAGCGTGCTCGAGAAAGGCGCACCCTCATCGAACCTATGAAAATTAAGAATAAGGGTTATAGCGTGGCTTGTAGGAGTCTAGTCACTCGGTTAGTCCGAGCCAAGTATTAAGGTTATTCATGAGGGTTACGAAGGAGAATAAAAACGTTGTCGAAAAAATGATCAAGGGTACTGTCCTATTGTGGGCTGCGATGAAAACCACCAAGATTTTTGTTGTTGTCTGTAGTGTGCTTCTTAAGAAAGCACTTTGACACAGTCTCTTAAGATTTCATATGAGAAGATATATATGTATATATATATATATTTGGCGAGCTAACGCCTTCCCTTAGAATTTGACTTTATTCCTGAGTGACGAGTCGTAACAGCAAGTTACTCGGATGCGGGTCGTACGAAGGACGTTAGCGTGCAACGTTTCTATGAAAGCGTAATTTTAGCTTGATACGAGAGCCCTGTACTTCGTTCAGTGTAATAATAGGAGGCACGCTCATATTTTTCTTTACAGTAGTGGTCTCTGCCTCTCTCTCTCTCTCTCTCTCTCTCTCTCTCTCTCTCTCTCTCTCTCTCTCTCTCTCTCTCTCTCTCTCTCTCTCTCTCTCTCTCTCTCTCTCTCTCTCTCTCTCTCTCTCTCTCTCTCTCTCTCTCTCTCTCTCTCTCTCTCGCTCTCTCTCTCTCTCTCTCTCTCCCTTATGCCACTCTTCTGGTAGCTACGGCGGCCGCCCCACATTTCCCCCATCCGATCAAGACAAAGCCGCACGTATTATCTTATTTCCCCAGCGTCTACCCCCTTGTGTAAATCCTCCTTGTGTGGGTTTCTCTCCTTTCGCGTGTATCCGCTGTTTACACCGAACAAATCCTGGTCCTCCGCATTACTTTCTCAGTGCAGCCGCCAACAGATTCATCTCGGGCACAATGGCCACCGGCAAAGAAGAATTCGAAGACGACGGAGATTCGGTCTCCTAGGGTCTCGTCAGAAAAAATGAAAAAAAAACCCGACCAGAGAGAAGGAACGAAGTGACAAGAAAAAGAGCAAGTGTACAAGGGAGGTGAAAAAAAAGCAAAGGATCTTTACTAATTTCGAATCCTCAAAAAGAGTGAGTGTTGGTTCTTTTGAAAATTAAAAAAAGAAATCAAAACCATCCCTGAAATCATAGCCGATTCTGAATGGGCCATGGAGCAATGCGTAGAACAAATCGATCGAGGGGTGACTGGCTAGCTGGAAGGCAAGGGGGGTTGGGCGAAGGGTGCAAAGGGCGAAATGCCCGTGGCAAAAATGTGGGATAACATACGTCCATGCACGTGGATATGGGGTATATATACATATATACAGATACACAGTACATGCACAGAGACAGACTACCCTTCCGTGCTCAAATACGTATCGAGGGGTTGTCCATTGCAATGGCGTACACTGGGGTCCCCGTGTGGCAACTACCCTCCCCCTCGGCAGCTGAGGCACCCCCCCCTCTCCCTCACGCAAGCCGCACCCCATTAAATACTCTCAAACTAACAAACTGTTCGTAGCTGTTAAACGCATATTTATCGATACGATCGATTCGAGTGTGTACTGCACCCTTAATTCACTGACCTACCTCCGCCGATTCCCTGACAAGACTCCGCGAAGCATACCTATGAAATAGGGGATGAAAAACTACTACACCAACCGACCTAGTCAAAACGAGTCCCATTGCAAGTCCAGTCTGGAGCAACGCTACCGAAAGAACGAGCGGAGTATACACGACGCCGTGCGACGGCAGGCGTCGAGACGCTCGTAAAACTCAGTCGCGTATAACAGCGAATGAGGAGTTTGCTATCCGGGAACGTTTGTAGCAGGTAATTATAAAGCGGGCAGTTTTGGCCTCGACGGGCCAATGAAGTGAAATTGAAATAATGTAAATGCAAGCTGAGCCGCCCGTTGGGGTAGTTTTTTTATTTGCGTTGAATCGTAAATCTTGGATGGGGACGAAGACGGTAGTTCATCTACAGTGATAATGGTGGGTACCGTATTAAAGGGTGCTTTTGGTATGACGAATAGAGAAATGGTATAGCGGAAGGCAGAGGGCGCTACGGAGGAGGCTGGATAGGAAGATCGAAGCAGCGGGGGGGAGAGAGGGTGGTACCAGCGGAATATACAAGGAGGTCCAAGTTGGTGCAAAATGGAAAGGGCGAGATGTATTAGCATTCACAACAAGTCTCCGCAGTCATGCCGAGCAGCGGGAAGTGCAGGCTCGAGAAATCAAAATATAATTACACAAAGGCAGTCAGTAACACGGAGACAGAATCGTAGAATAGACGGGTCTCATTAAAATTGGAGGACTGTTTCGAAACTACAAGACTTCCGTGTCGGTTGCAGTAGCTCTGAGGGGGGTGGGGGGTTGGCTTTTCCGGAGAGAAACGAAAAACTTGTATACGGCTTTGCTCGCCACGTAGGGCGACGGAGGGGG